ATTTTTACTTGCCCAGTATAATGTTTGATAAATATAGTTCCTAATATTCATTTTTGTATATATATCAATGAAACATGTTTGTTTTTTAAAATGTTTTTTTGTAATTCAGTACGTTTCCAGGTTCCTGGTGTGTATCTGCATGCGTCAGATAATGAACTCAAGCCTACATTACCGCGTTAACATTCTTTTCAAGCCTTCCTGCACATTCTTTTCAAACTAAACTTTGCTTTAAACTGTTGTTTGCTTGGAAATATATAAATTCTAATGTTAAAAATCTAAAACTTACACTACTACTACTCACCAATTTAACAGGTTTAGCTCTATAACATTTAAATGCACCACTCCAATGTCTAAGAGAAAAAAAATTTATGAACATTTTTAATGTATGACCTGCATCACTGTACAGAAGACTGCCATATGATAGACAATTATTATTATTATTTTCCTAATCCCTGACTGATCATTTTTAATCTAGTGTGTATTCAATGTTGGGTAAGTTACTTTAAAAAATGTAATCCGTTACAGTTACCTTGTTTAAAATGTAATTGTAGTGTAACTTTTTCAATTACTTTTAAAAAAATAAAAAATTTAAGGCAATAGATAATTTTATTCTCAGTTCAGACAGACCTGAATCCTGCTAACTTATTGGAAACTTTTACAACTGATCTTACAATTAGCAAATCCCATGATGAATAGTAATAGATTTTTTTCTCAATTTTATAGAAGATGTTATCTCTTTATAATCGTAAGCGTGGAACTGTGGTGGGAGAAAAAAAAAATCCCTTTTACATATATTTATGTAGGTATATATATCTATATATAAACATATATAGATATATATATATATATACAGATTTGATGCTGAGTTTTATTCATTCGGCCTCAGAGCTCCAAGAACACAACATGGCCAAAATTTAGATGTTGGAGATCGGCCTGTTTTTCAGTGTAGTCCTGTTTCTCTGACTGTGACTAACTGGATGTGCTCTCTTCATCCTCTGACATGGGAGCTCGTCTGCCTGGCTGTGTGTTTTCTGGATGGGGCCGCCTTTTCCAGCTGCTTTTTCAATCTCTGCTTCTGTCTCCTTGAACCCCAGTCAGCCTCAGCAGATGGCCGCTCACACTGAGCCTGGTTCTGCTGGAGGTTTCTTCCTGTTCTAAGAGAGTTTTTCCTCTCCACTGTCGCTACAAGCATGCTTAGTGTGAGGGATTGTATTTGAGTCAATAAGTCGATGCAATCAACTGGTTTTTCCTTAGATAGAAAACTTCGAATCAATCATACTGGATGATCTGGTTGAACTGGAAAGTGCTTGGAGATGATGTGTTGTGAATTGGCGCTATAGAAATAAACTGAATTGAATTGAAACATGCCTGAGTTTTTGGATACAAGAAATACTTTTTCCCATGACAAGCCAGATAATTTCTCAAGGTTTATTCATACCATGTTACCGTTGAACCAAAGTGTCTGTAATTTGTTTTGACAGTTTATTTTCCATTATTGTAAGTAAGGCGAACAAACGCCGTCCCGATCAGAACAGGGCTGATTACCATGCAATGCTGTTCTCTCTTTGCAAAGATGAAATAAAAATGCAAACTGAGTGAAATCCATCGATCTCCGTTTATTTAACTGGAGTGAATAGTTGAATACTTTTTACCCACAACAATCCATAGCCAAACTCTTCCGGCCTCCTTATTTTCACGGACCTCCAAGAACCGAGTCCAGGTAGAACACAGCCAGCGTCTGTTGGTCTGCTGGACGTTAGCAACATTTCTATTCGTCAGAGCGAGTGTTTTTAATTGGGTTTATAGAGAAGATAATGTGATCGGTTTGAAATGAAAGATATTCGTGATACTACAACTGGAAAAAAAAAAGATTTAAATATAAAAGCAGAATTGAAGTTTAAAAAATATGAATTAAAAACAAATAGTGATAAAACGATTTTGAGAACTTTGCTTTTTTTTTCTTCTTCAGATTTTTGTAATTTTTTTTCAAACTTTGCTTTTTTATAGCCCCACCTTTATATTTTCAAAGTTACTTTTTTCAAATTTCCTTTTTTCAGATCCATTTACACAAATTGAATTCTTTCAAATTTTGTTTTCAGATAATTTTATTCTCAATTCAGTAAGACCTGAATCCTGCTAACTTATTGGAAACTCTTACAACTGATCTTACTACAAATGAGCAAATCCCATGATGAATAGTAATTGATTTTTCCTGAATTGTATAAAAGATGGTATCTCTTTATAGTCGTAAGCGTGGAACTGTGGTGGGAAAAAATATCTCCTATTAATTCCCTTTTACATATATTTATGAAGGTATATATCTATTAGGGGTGGAACGGTTCACAAAATCCACGGTTTTCGGTACGATTTGGTATATGTTGATTGTTACACCGAAATCCCATAAAAATTTATGAAATTAATGAAAAAATCCCCCCAAAAATAATGGATTGTAATTATTTTAAATGATCCGCGGAAACCACAGCGGAGGCTGTAGGCTTTGCTTTGAGCAGCCGGTCTGGAGTGCAGCGCTGACGGAGTAAGAGGGATTTCGGGGTTAGCGTGACATGTTGGTCGTGTTGCTGTTAGCATAAACAAAACGTGTTGCACAATGCTTGCACACTGTTGCACTTTTATACACAACTTTCTTCCCGCCGTCATCGTAGGTCACTCTAAATGCAAAGTGGTCCCATACAGCAGACCTATAAAGTGCTGCTGGCGCGTCTTCCAACTCCTGTTCTTTCCCACTCGCCATACCCACACAATTCTCCACAACAACTGATTTTTTCCTGCTACACCCGGCTACGCTGCTTCGCTTCTTCTTGTTTACTACTGGTGGTTGGCTTTGGTCGCAGTACCGCCACCTTCTGCTCTGGAGTGTAAACGCTTCGCCTATGAGAAAAAGGAGCAGCGCATGAACCGAACGCAACACGAACCGAGACAGTCGAACCAAACGGTTCGGACGTTTTCTTAATCGTCCCATCCCTAATATCTATATATACACATATATAGATATATATACACAGATTTATGAGTGCCGAGTTTTATTAATATGACCTCAGAGCTCCAAGGCTACAACATGGCCAAAATTTAGATGTTGGAGATTGAGCTGTTTTTCCAGTGTAGTCCTGTTTCTCTGACTGTGACTGGCTGGATGTGCTCGCTTCATCTTCTGACATGGGAACTTTTCATGATCACATTCTCTTAACTACAAACAATGGCGAAAACTAATGATTATTTTGCAAATTGATTAATCTATGAATTATTTTTCGATTCATCGTTTAATAATTAAAGAAGAGTTTTTGCTAAATGAAACCAAGTAAAAATAAAAGCTATTCCACTTGAGTTCTGGCTAGAACTTATTGACGGCGAAAAAATTATTTTATCTTTAATTTTTACACATTTTGTTTTTATTTTGGTATCATTGCTGCTCTAATTGGGTTCCTCTGTCAGCTAAATTTGATTTTTAGAGTCTTTATACTCCAGGTAATGATTAATGGATTACTAAATTAGTTGTTAATTATTTCAATAATCGTTTGTTTCAGCCCTAATATAAACGCTAACATCCAGCAGACCAAATGAAAAGCGTCTTTGTTTCGCGCTCCAGACAGAATCCCGCCCCCAGCAGAGAAGACTGCAGTCCGTGAAATTCAATCTAAAAAAGAGAAATAAATAAAAAAACAATCTGAAAATATTACAGATTTTTCTCGGAATGGATGGAAGCAAAATAATCCACAATCAACTCAAACTGGTGCACCAGTCTGTTGCTGGTTCAAATAAATAATCTGAGTCTGAACCAGTAACCGATAGTTAGGCTGACCCTCGGGTCATTGCGGCGAGCTCCCCGCTCCGTTCGCTTCTGCGTAGAGTCCATGTGGAGTGAGCTGCTCCACGGCGCCCTGCTGTGGCTGAGCGCACACTATCAGCGGAACGCTCTGGATGACCACGTTCTGGCCGCCCACCACCAGGGCAGCTTCCTGTCCGGCTCCGGCAGCCTGAGATGCGGCGACGTCGGCCGGAGGCAACAGGGAGCTCCTCTTGGCCACCACTCTGAGCTCAGCGCCGCCATCGGGGATGAAGGTGCAGACGCCGTCCAGGTCTGAGCTGTAGGTGATCAGAGTCTGCCTGCTGCTGCTGGGCTCCTGGGGGGCGGGGCTACTGTCTGAGCTCAGATTGGTCAGCAGCACAGCCTGAGGTTCGGTGCCGACGGTGCTACGCTGAACCGCCGCCACGAGGTTGACTTGTTGGATGACGGGACTGACGACCTCATCCTGGCTTTCCGCGTCCAGAAAAACCATTTTGGTTTTGCCGCTTCCGTCCTCGTCGGCGGCGATTAGGGAGCCGTGCTGCATCAAAGGCTGCGGGACCAGGATTTTGATTTGCGCGTTACCGTAAGACGGGAAAGGAACCTCGCTCTGAGCCACCGTAACAGGAAGCAGAGCGACGGCGTCCGGCGAGCCGGGGACCTGCGGCGCCTTCTGGGCGTCTCTGTGCTGCTTCTTGTGGCTGCGCAGCGAGTCCTCCCTCACAAACGAGGCGTCGCACAGGTCGCAGTGGAAGACTCGGGCGGCGTCCAGCTTGGCCCGGTAGCGGGAGCAGGCGGGGTTGGGGGAGTTGGGCCCTTTTCTGCGGGCCATCCGGACCCCCCCCTTGGCGGCCTTGTCCGGGTGGCACTGCTCCCTGTGGCTGATCAGGTAGCTGAGTCGCTTGGAGGCGAAACTGCACAGGTCACATCGGAAGGGCCGCTCCTCCGAGTGGATCCGCTCATGGACTCGGAGCGCCCCCTTCCCGGAGCACGAGTACGAACACTTGGAGCACTGAAAGGGTCGGCTGGGCAGGTGCTGCCTGGCGTGCTGCCTCAGCGCCAGCCTGCTGGCGGACTTGTAGTCGCACTGCTCGCACTGATACAAGTTCTCTGTGCCGTGTTTGATCCGAGTGTGAGACTTCAGGTTTCCCTTCATGGCGCAGCAGTAGTCGCAGAAGTCACACTTGTAGGGCTTTTCACCCGAGTGAATACGGAGGTGCCTCTTGAGGTCCGAGTTGATCTTGAATTTGGCGTCACACTGCTGACACTGGAAGGGTGCGTCTCCTGAAAACAAAATACAGACAGAGTGAGAGAGAGGCTCGCGCCGGCGGACATGTTAAACGTGTGGCGTTCAGGGACCTGTGTGAGAGCGCAGGTGCACGGTGAGCTGGCTGGAGTTGCGGCTGGCGTAAGGGCAGATCTGGCATTTGAACGGCCGCTCGTCGTAGTGGATCCGGAGGTGCTTCTTCAGGCTGCTGCTGTCCGCCGCCGCGTAGGAGCAGTGCTTACACTTGTGAGGCCTCTCGCCCGTGTGAGAGCGGCTGTGCATGTTGAGCTTGTCCCGCCGACTGAAGCGCTTGTGGCACAGCTCGCATTCGAACGGCTTCTCTCCTGCTCCAAGCAGAGGGGAAAAATTAACTCTGACCGTCGCTTATGGAGAGAAATTTGTTCCATTATTTTTGAAAGCAAATAAACTATTTTGTAATCCAAAAAAAAAAAAACCCTTTAATGAAAAAAAAAATTTAAGAGTGACTTTTTTGTTTTCTTAGAAATCCTTTTTTTTTTATTTTTTTTTTTTACATTATTTCAAATATTATCTGGATTTATTTTCTCTGTATTTGTCAAATTTCTCTTTTTCAGATTGAGTTTTATGAACTGGATTCTTTTACTTCTGTTGACGTCTGCATTGATGTCAGCAATATTTTTTTGTGAAGAGCGAGCGAGTTTTATTGGGCTAAAATCTTTAAATATAAAATCTGTAAAAATATAATAAAGTTGTAAAAAAATATATTTGAAAAAAAAAACCACAAAAGTGTTTTGATACAAAAATACAAAAGTCTAAGAAAACGGGAAAGTTATTTTAAAACCTTTTTATGAATCTGAAATCTCAAGTTTTATTCCTGGATTGTATTTTGTTTTCAAAATCTCAATGTAAAATCTTTACTTTCAAATAAAAAAAAAAAAAAAGACAAAAATATAAAAACGAGGAAAAAAAAAGAATACGAAGAAAAAAAAAAAGAAAATCTCAGATAAAAAGCAAAAGTACTCTTAAAACTAGGGCTTCAACTAACGATTATTTTGCAAATCGATTAATCTGTTGATTAATTTTTCGATTAATCGATTAATAATCGGATAGCAAAAGGTTCCTTAAAGAACACTTTTTATTAAATTAAACCAGGTAAATCTAAAAGGAGTTCTGGATAGAGCGTATTGACAAATGACAGATTATCACAAATGTAATTTTGGTATGATTGCTGTTCAAGGGTTGGTTGATCATGTAAAGGCCTGTTTTAGTCTCTATATTCCAGTTAACGATTAATCGATTAATAAATTCATTGCCGATTATTTAAAAAATCGATTTATCACCATGAATTCGATTAATTGTTTCAGCCCTACTTAAAACATTTTCTAAGTTGCATCATTCTCTTTCTTTTTTTTTTTTATTTCAGTTTCTAAGTAAATTCCCTTCATGGTCCTTCAGGTTTTTCTGCAGCTCATCTCACAAACGAAGCCGGATCTCCTTACCGGTGTGAGTCTTCAGGTGTCGCTCCATGTCTTTCTGGCCATACTGGGTCTTAAAATTGCAACCTGTAGATGTAGAAGTAAAGTTATTTAGAGGCTACCTTGTGCTGCGATGAGGTACTTGTTTTCTTTACTGATTTTGGCATGCTGCAGGAACACAAGACCTGGGTTAACACACTAAATTACATGCAACATTTGGA